CGGAGGAGGCGGTAGAGAACAGCAAAACATTTGGGATGGCTCTTGAAGCGAGGAGGCGGCAAGGGGAGGAGGAGGAGGGGGCCCGCCTGAACGGTAGGGCGACGCAGGAAGGGGGAAGTGATGATGATGATGATGCATGATGCTGCTGGATGATGATGTTAATGATCATGCTGACGACGATGATGATGATGATGAGCTGATGATGATGATGATGATGATGATGATGATGATGATGATGATGATGATGATGATCATGATGATGATGATGATGATGAGGAGGAGGAGGAGGAGGAGGGAGGAGGAGGACGTGGGCAACTCGAGTAGCCAGGGCCAGTCGATCGAGGTTCGATGCTCCAAGGGTTTAGGTTTTACTCAAACGCTTCCGCCTCACTCTCCTTCGCTTTCCGCTCTCCTTCATTCTTCTGCATTCATACTCACGCATACTCAGACTCAGTCACACGCAGGCTCACTCGCAGTTAGACTCGCTCATATCCATACTTAAACTTACTCGCGCTCAGACTCACGCTCAGAACCACTCATACTCAGACTCGCTCCTGCTCAGACTCATCATCTTTCGGTCCGCTCAAACGCAGACCGGCTCACACTCAGACTGCCTCACATCCATACCCAATCACACTCGGCTCACTCGCACTCAGATTCATTAGCACACACTTTTCTCACACTCAGACCCACTCAAGCCCAGACTCACTCATGCTCAGACTCATCATGCTACGACCCGCTCAATCACAGACTGGCTCACACTCAGATTCGTCCATACTCAGACCCACTCGCACACAGACGCACTCGCGCTCATATTTACTCACACGCATACCCACTCAAACCCAGGCTCAATCGCACCCAGATTAACTCACACTCAGAACCAGTCGCTCTCAGATTTGCTATTGGTCGCACTCATGCTTGCAGACCGTGGGAATGTCTCGAGCGAGCGGTTCGCCCTCGCACACAGGCGCTCATTGGCAGATATCAATAGAACAACGCACCGAAATAATGAGATACACATATGGGGAGCCCCGCGTCGAGTAATCATTGGCGGACCGCGCCGGAGGAGAGGGAACATACCACTCCTCTCATTCAGACCCACTCACTCATCACTCAGACTCACTCATCACTCAGACCCACTCATCACTCAGACTCACTCATCACTCAGACTCACTCATCACTCGGACTCAGTCATGACTCAGACCCATCACTCATCACTCAGACTCACTCATCACTCAGACTCACTCGTCATTCAGACTCACTCATCACTCATACTCACTCGTACTTGTACTCATACATTCACTACGCTCACTCAGGTTCACTCATCGGATGACTCACACACACTGATGTTGAGGATGTCTCAGGCGATTCTGTGGCTTCAGCACTAATAAGGAGAGCGGCGGGGGGGTATTGCACTCGGCCCCTTTCGCAGGATTTTGTGGGGACGTCTCAACCAGTTTGGTCGTTTTCGCTTTCGGAGCAGATTTGGAGGATGTCTCCGGCGATTCGCTGGTTTCAGTACTGCTAAGTGGGGCGGCGGGGGGTTATTGCACCCGGCCCCTTGCGCGGGATTTTGTGGGGATGTCTCAGGCGGTTTGGCAATTTTCTCTTCCAGCATGTTTCGCTTTCGGAGCAGATTTGGAGGATGTCTCATGCGATTCGCTGGTTTCAGCACTCCTAAGGGGAGCGGCGGAGGGGTATTGCACTCTGCCCCTTTCGCGGGATTTTGTGGGGATGTCTCAGGCGGTTTGGCCATTTTTCTCTTCCAGCATGTTTCGCTTTCGGAGCAGATTTGGAGGATGTCTCTGGCGATTCGCTGGCTTCAGCACTCTAATGGGAGCTGCGGGGGGGTATTTCACTCGGCCCCTTTCGTGGGATTTTGTGGGGATATTTCAGGCGGTTTGGCCATTTTCTCTTCCAACATGTTTCGCTTTCGGAGCAGATTTCGACGACGTTCGCGCCCAGTTTGCGGGGATTTCTCAGGCGGTTTGGCCGTTATGATGCTGGGTATCTGTCGTTTTCGGAACAGTTTTGGGAGGATGTCTCAGGCGATTTGCTGGTTTCAGCACTCCCAAGGAGGAGGAGGAGGAGGAGGAGGAGGAGGAGGAGGACGGAGGAGGAGGAGGAGGAGGAGGAAACGGAGGAACGAGGAGGCGGAGGAGGAGGAGGAGGAGAGAAGGAGGAAACGAGGAGGAGGAGGAAGAGGACGAGGAGGAGTAGGAGAAGGAGGACATAATGAACACGGTAGGAGCAGAAGCAGGAAGGGGAGGATGATGATGATCATGATGATGGGGAGGAGGAGGAGGAAGAGGAGGAGGAGGAGGAGGACGTGGGCAACTCGAGTAGCCAGGGCCAGTCGATCGAGGTTCGATGTTCCAAGGCTTTAGGTTTTACTCAAACGCTTCCGCCTCACTCTCCTTCGCTTTCCGCTCTCCTTCACTCTTCTGCCTTCATACTCACCCATACTCAGACTCAGTCACACGCAGGCTCACTCGCAGTTAGACTCGCCCATACTTACACTTACTCACGCTCAGACTCACGCTCAGAACCACTCATACTCAGACTCGCTCCTGGTCAGATTCATCATCCTTCGGTCCGCTCAAACGCAGACCGGCTCACACTCAGACTCCCTCACATCCATACCCAATTACATTCGGCTCACTCGCACTCAGATTCATTAACACACACTTTTTCTCACACTCAGACCCACTCAAGCCCAGACTCACTCATGCTCAGACTCATCATGCTACGATCCGCTCAATCACAGACTGGCTCACACTCAGATTCGTCCATACTCAGACCCACTCGCACACAGACGCACTCGCGCTCATATTTACTCACACGCATACCCACTCACACCCAGGCTCAATCGCACCCAGATTAACTCACACTCAGAATCAGTCGCTCTCAGATTTGCTATTGGTCGCACTCATGCTTGCAGATTGTGGGGATTTCTCGAGCGAGCGGTTCGCCCTCGCACTCAGGCGCTCATTGACAGATATCAGTGGGAAGACGTACCAAGATAATGATATGCACATACGGGGAGCCCCGCGTCGAGTAATTTTTGCCACCGTCACACCGTTTGTAGGACCATGCGAGGATGCAACATCATACCTTCGGAGGTACGCGGTCATTGTTGCCGGGAGTAACTCTTGCGTGCAACCGAGCCGAAGCGTGCCCCGAGAGGCCGAACACGCGCGAAAGCCCGCGCCAGGGGCTGGGGATTTAGTCGGAGAGAACGGTGACCATGACCAAGGTTGAACGCGGAAACATCGGTGCCCGTCTTGGCCACCGTCCACATTTTTGTCACCGTCAATTCGTGGACCTTCCTCGCGCATCGACCACGGCTGGTGCGGACCATGGCCAACATCGGCGTCGACAGGGTCCAGTGAAATCTTGGTCATGGTCAGCATGTTTCATGCCTCGAGGGGAGGCTCTAACAGGAGGGCCCGAGTAGTAGATGGGGTCGGAGGATCGTGCCGCATCGCCGGTGCTTCGGCGAGGCGGTTCGATGTGAAACACGGTTTTGTCCGCGCCGATTCTGCCAAAGCAACGCCGGTGTCGCCGATGCATCGCCGATGCGTCGGCGATGCATTTGCCATGCGGCGAGATCCTCCGACCCTATCTATTCGGATCCCGATGTGGATGTTTGCCAGGAGGCCATCACCGTCCCGGCGTATGCCCGAGTCTCGGCGGCAACCCTCTCGTGGTGAGTGTTGCAGCACGGGTGCGGGAGATTGGTGCCGTCGTTGCCGTCCGCTTTTCCGCCTCCACTGATGGGGGCGACGATGACGACGCCGACGAAGACGACGACGCCGACGCCGACGCCGACGACGACGCCGACGCCGACGATGACGACGACGACGATGACAACGACGACTATGTAGGCCAGAGGGGCCTCTAGGCGCCACGCGCCCCGGCGGGGATGGGCGCCCGGCATGGCCCGCGCGCGCGCCGCAGGTGCGAAGCGGACGGCGCCGCGCGCGGGCAGTGGCTTCTCGGCGTCAAGGCAGCGCAGTGCGGGCTCCTCGTGCAGGCGCCGCGCGCTCCTCGTCGTCGTCGCCGGCGATCGATCGTTTCGGTTTTGCTTCCCCGACTGCGGCCCCAGGGCGCCGGTGTCGGGCCCCGCGACCTGGGGCCTGGGCCCAGACCTCTGGGGTGGGGTCGAGAGTTGTGGGGTCTAGACTTCCACGGTCGTCTTCGTCTTCGTTGTCGTTGCCGCCGTCGTCGTTGTCGTCGTCGTGATCGTTGTGAATGTGATCCCTTCTCCTTCTCCTCCTCCTCCTCCTCCTCCTCCTCCTCCTCCCTTCAGGAGGGGAAAACACAGACACAATTAATTGTCCACTCCTTGGAAAATATATGAAAATATGGGAAATGGCGGGGAAGACAAAAACCCAGAAAATATGGGAAAATATGGGGAATCCTTTTAGTTGTGTGTATTTGTTTGTGCGTCCCAGGGCCCCTTCCTCCTCCTCCTCCTCCTCCTCCTCCTCCTCCTCCTCCTCCTCCTCCTCCTCCTCTTCCTTTCTCGCTTCATCCTTCTCCTCTGCCTCCTCCTCCTCCTCGTCGCTCCTCCGGGCAGCCCACGGCCACGGTAGAGGCTCCCCTGCCTGAGGAGTCGTCAAGGCGCCTGGGTTTCTGCTGTGGAGGGTCCGGAGCCGTAGCGCGAAGATGCTCAGGAGGAAAAGTACCTTGGGAGGAATTGATGAGGGCGGTGGAAAGAGGATGAGGAGAGGAGGAGGATGGGGGAGCATGGGAAGGAAGGAAGGGACGAAGGGGAGGAGGAGGAGGAGGAGGAGGAGGAGGAGGAGGAGGAGGAGGAGGAGGAGGAGGAGGAGGAGGAGCAGGAGGAGGACGAGGACGAGGACGAGGAGGAGGAGGAGGAGGAGGATGAGGAGGAGGGGGATGATGAGGAGAAGAAGGAGGAGGGCGAGGAGGAGGAGGAGGAGGAGGAGGAGGAACATGACGCTTGCCGGAGGATGTCCCCACGCAAGGTAGGCTGTTCGGCACCAGTGCGCCTCGAGACGCTCTCCGAAGTCGCTTGCCTGCGAAGGGATGCGCCGGGCCGGGCCGAGCTTTCTGGAGGCATCTTGGCCTGGGCCTTGCTGGCGTGCCGCCTCTGCGGGCCCTGGCCGCGTGCCCCCCCCTCGCGACAGCATGCGGGCTCCGCCCCCGATCGCATGGCGGACGGCGTCTCGGGCAGAGGCCCGGCCGAGGTGTGCGTGGAGGGCGCGCGCGGCAGGCTGGCCGCCGGGGACGTCGAGGGGGCGCTGGAGCTCCTGCAGAGGTCGGCTGCGCGCAAGGAGTGACCCCTTTCCTGGAGTGACCTCGGGTGCGGGCCCACGCGTCCCTTCCAGCACCTCTGGGCCTCCCAGGGGGGCGGGTCCGAGCAGACGGGGTCGCAAGTCCTGCCGCATGGCCGATCCGATGCCTTGGCGATGCGGCTCGATGCGGAGCCCGATTTTCGCCTCGCCGACGGCGGCGATGCACCCGCCGACGTCGCCGATGCATCGCCGACGCGGCGCGCTCCTCTGGCCCCGTCCTCCGGGACCCCGCCTGCGAGGCCTGCATGCACTGGCCCGCGCGCCCAGGGCGGGCCCGCCGCGGCCCCCCCGAGGCCGCGCACCACAGGCCGCACCTCGCCCGGAGGTCACGCCTTGCGCGTGGCCGCCGGCGAGGGCCAAGCGCCTGCGCCCGACGGACGCGGCGATCGACGCCCTCATAGCGGAGGCCTCGCCGGGCGGCTCCGCCGGGCCTGCCGCCGCAGGAGGCGCCCCCGCTGGCCAGGCCCCGCCCGAGGGGGCGCGGCCACGAGCCTCGGCCGCGGCAGGCGGCGCCCAGCCCTGCGTCGGCCCCGGCACGGCGCCCCTAGGGGAGGAGGATGTACCGATGCCGCTGCCCTTCCCTCTTTGTCCCCTTCTGGGGCCTCCTGGGAGGCCCTCGTCGCCACCGCTGGATCCGCCTCGAGATTGTCGGGACGCACCCTGGGAGCAGCGGTGTTGGTGCCTTCTGATTTCCCCAGGCGCGCTCTGGAGAGGACAGGACCTACACTGCCGATGACGTGAGCCTCGTGCAGCGGATACTGCGGACCAGGGATCATTATGGCGTCCTCGAAATAGAGAGGGGTGCCTGCGAGGAAACCGTCAAGAGGGCCTACAAGAAACTGGCACTCAAGCTGCACCCGGATAAGAACACGGCGCCTGGGGCAGAGGAGGCATTCAAGAAGTTGTCCAAGGCGATGAACTGCCTGCTAGACGAAGGGAAACGAGAGAGGTACGACAGGTGCGGGGACGAGGACAAGCTTGCCCCGCAGCGCCACGAGGACCTCTTCGAGGCCACTTTCAGGGCCTCTCGTCAGAGGGCGCAGCGCCAGCGGCAGGCCCACGTGCAAAACGTGCACGCCTTGGAACATGCTTGGCTTGCATTCGTGATCGCTCTCGTGATTGGGCTGCTCGCCTGGAACATCTTGTTCCGCGACTCGGGGCAGGGAGACCACTTCTCGCTGTCGCGCACTGGCCGCCACCGTGTACAGCGCTCCACCGCGGGCCTGCACGTTGCATTCTTTGTCGCGGAGGACTTCGAGGACAGGTACCCCGCGGGCACGGGCGCGCTGGCGGAACTCGAGTGGTCGGTGGACGTCGGCCACCTGAGGAGCCTGCAGAGCGACTGCAGGTACTCTTATGTCGGGCGTGTCCCCCTACAGGGGGATTTTCGACGAAAAATAAAACATACCTCCAAAAATACCCCCAACATGTCAGACCATACCCAAAAAATAGTCCCCTGACTATTTTTGGATTATTTGTTGTACATATTTTTGGGGCATTTTTTATGTTTCGTCGAAAATCCCCCTGTATGGGGGGGACAGACCCGACTCAAAGGTACTCCAGCCAGGTGATGCAGGCGAAGGTCCGGGAGGCGGAGCGGGCCGGCAGCCGGCAGGACGTGGAAGCCGCCCGCCAGCACCCGCGGCCAGCCTGCAGAGAGGTGGACAGGATCCGGAGGGCGCACCCCGGGCTAGGGGCCCCCGGGCCTCTGGCGCCCGTTGGCTCTCTCGGGGCGCGTGCCCCGGCGCTCTCGGCTCTGGTAGGGGGCCACGTGCGAACCCTACCCTACCCCCCACGATTTCTGAGGGGGAGGGTGGGGTTCATTTCGTCTGGGAGCTCACGAGCGGAGTGAACCCCACCCTCCCCCTCAGAAGTCGTGGGGGGTAGGGGTAGGGTTCGCATGTGGCACCCCATCTGGCCCCACGGCCTCTCTCTCGTCGTGTTGCCGTTCTCCCGTGGCCCGGATGGGCCCAAGGCAGTGGTGCAAAAGCGGTCCTGAGAGTGGTGTGTCCCGGACTCGTCAAGGTCTGTCATGACGTTCAACACGGGCCTCGAAAACGAGGGCCGCCAGATGCTGCGGAATTCCTGGAACGTGTCTTGACCCAATGCAATCATGGCATTGTCCTTGTCCTGCCAGGGATGGGCCCCTGGAGGCCCGGACTCGGGAGGAAGCCTGCCGTCGTGCTTTTGTCTCGGGCGTTGAGACAACGCCTGCCCAGACACGTCCACCGAGGAAGTCTACATTGATTCACTCGACATTGGCATTCGAGTCATTCGAGTAAGGGTGCACTACAGCATCGTGAATGCATTCTGGGCTCACTCTGGTCCTCCCCCCGATGATGATGATGATGATGATGATGATGATGATGATGATGATGATGATGATGATGATGATGATAGATGATGATGATGATGATGATGATGATGATGATGATGATGATGATGATGATGATGATGATGATGAGGCTGAGGAAGAGGATGAGGAGATGAGGATGAGGTGCTGAGGCTGAGGATGCGGATGAGGATGAGGACGAGGATGATGAGAAGAGGATGAGGATGAGGATGAGGACGAGGATGATGAGGATGCGCATGATGATGGTTGGCTGGTGATGGTATGATGGTTGATGACGATGATGCTGATGATGATGATGCTGTGATGATGATGATGTTGTGATGATTATGATGATGATGATGATGGAGTGGTGATGGTTGATGTGCTGGTGGGGCGGTTGGTGCTGATGGATGATGATGATGTTGATGAAAATGCTTGATGTAATATGATGATGATGTTAAACGGATGCTTGATGAAGATGATGCTGTGATGATGATGATGCTGATGCTGATGGTGAGATGATGATGATGATGATGGTGATGGTGATGGTGATGGTGATGGTGATGGTGATGGTGATGGTGATGATGATGATGATGCTGATGCTGATGCTGATGATGGTGGTGGTGATAAGTGTCCCAGTGCAGTCCCCAGTTGGCTTCGCACATCGACGCGCGCTTCGCCGTCTACATTCGCTTGTTTTTGGACGTCGACGTATTGGCTGCCCTGCTGGGGTCCTCTCGGACCGCGGTGACGTGCGCACGTGCAGTGCCCGAGGCAGCTCCCACTAAAGTGCGTTGTGCTAAACGGTGCTTTGTCGACCTTCTCCCTCGGCCTTCCTCCTCCTCGCCTTACAGTGCCGTTTTTAATGCATGCTCCGCGTGCGGATCATGTATTAACAATGCAGGGAAGTAGTACTAAAAACAACGATGAGTTCATGCATACATTTACTCATAAGATTAGTCATGTATAAAAAATCATGTAGTTTTAAAGATCCCATGTATTAGAATACTTGCCCTGTATGATGTTCCAACCTACTTTAGCCTTGACGGCCAGAATGAATTTCGAGCACTAAGAAAGTACCGAAGCTCGATGGTTCTCACGCGTCGGGCCCCGGAAGGTGGTACTCGTTCGACGCTGTTCCGATACTCTTCTGGATGCTCGAGACTATTTCTGGGACGTGGTCCTTAAGTACGACGGGTCGGGGGTGGACAGAACCCCCAACAGTGACACGTCGATTAGTGAATTGTCTGTTTTCGGTTCTCGAGAGGGCGCCGCGGCCGTTATTTTCCAGGCTTGCGCCCGCCAGGTTTGGGCCTCAGGTCGTTTTCACTAAACCACGTTTTACTAAAGGGGGGTCTGTCCATCCCCGAGAGCAGCACGATCCTCGCCCCCCGCCCGCCTGCGCCCCTGTGCCCCAACCCGCAGCGGATGCGCCCCGCCATGTGCATTGGCTGCCTGCTGGGACCCAACTCGCCGCCGACCAACCAACATCAGCATCGTTTCGCCGATGCCCATCTCCCCCTCCTCCTCCTCCTCCTCCTCCTCCTCCTCCTCTCTCATCTCCTCCTCCTCTCTTACTCTCTCCTCCCCCTCTCCTCCTCTCCCTCCCCCTCACTACTCCCCTCCTCCTCCTCCTCCCCCTCCTCACCTCCTCCTCCTCCTCTCCTCCTCTCTCCTCCTCCTCCTCCTCCATTCCTCCTTACTCACCTCCTCCTTCCTTCCTACCTCCTCCTCCTCTCCCATCCCCCCATCCCCATCCCGATCCCCATCATCCCACCACCCCAGCTCGGGATCTGCCCCTCGAAGCCCGAAGGGCACGGCCTACATCCCCATCTGGGGGATCAATCGGCGAGTGGGGCCCAGGCCACGCCAGTGGGGCTATAGGATCGGTCACGGTCGGGGACTTTTGGATGGCGTGTCGCCCCGCCGGTGCTGGCCGACCGGGCTCCGGTGCGACACGCGGAAGTCCCAGAGCGTCAGCGTCGCGAGCTCTTCCCGAGCCTCGCGCCCTGCACAGCGGAGCGGCACGCGATCCACCCGCACGGCACAGCGCGCCGACGGGTCCGCCGCCGCGGCGCGCTATCCCAAAGTTCCCGACCGCAAGCTGTGTTCCAGGAAAAGACGTGTTCTCGGGCGGGGCCAGGACGAGGGCAAATCCGTTCTAGAGCGTTGCGGAACGTTCTCAGAGCGCGCCGGAACGCTCTGAGAAGGCAGCGTCGCCCGAGACATCCTCCAAAGCCGGTGGACTTCAGAGACTCTCGATTGATGCTCACCGGATTTTAGCCTCGTCCTGGCGTCGCCTCATAAGAGAGACCTTTCGCCAGAGTGACCGTTGGTGCGGGCCCAATGAGGCCCCCCCGATCCCCGAATGCGAGGCCATGGCAGCGGTTGGCGCGCCTGGCGCGTCCCCAAATGGCCCCCCTGTGTGCCGCGCACGGAAGGTCACTCTTGCCCAGGGTCACTCTTGCGTGTAGCCTTAGAAAGTTCAGGGCTCGCTAGGGACTGGTGTCGTGTCGAGGCAGCCCCAGCCCTCCCGAAGCCCTCCGAACACCCTCGGGGAGGGGTGCAGGGCGGCTCTCCAGAGGCTTCCGGGAGGACTCTGGAAGTGTCCTCGTCGCCTGGGGGGGCAACCAGTCCCTATAGCGAACCCTGCAGGCGTTCGGAGAGTGTAGCCGCCTCAGAGACGTGCTCTGCCGATGCTCGATCGTTGGTCGGGGGATGGACAGAACCCCCAACAGTGACACGTCGATTAGGGAATTGTCCTTTTTCGGTCCCCGAGAGGGCGCCGCGGCCGTTCTTTCCCAGGCTCGCGCCCGCCAGGTCTGGGCCTCAGGCCGTTTTCACTACAGTCGGACCGAGGTATAAGATCGAGGTCGGTTCGGGGAGGGTGCCCTAATGTTCTTCGTAGCTTGTCGGATGTTCTTGTGCATCCTGGGCAGGATACCCTTGGATGTTATGTGTGTTTTGGCCGGCGGAGGGTCTCATGTTCTTGAAGGATGCTCTTCTGTCTTAGGTTCGGCTGTAGGCCACGTTCTACGAAAGGGAGGCCTGTCCACCCCCGAGTTGGAGGGGGCGCCAGAGGTCCGGGGCGCCATAGGTCTGCCGCAGCTGGTGTTCTTTTGTCGGGTGGCGGCAAATGCCGGTCAGTGGAACGGGGCGGGGGGGGGGGCCGTCCCTCGGGGGCGGAAAAGAGGGGGGTGATGACTAGGGGGGGGTGGATATCATGGCGTCGGCCATGATATTTCCCCAGATTTCATGGCGCCTCTTCTTGTTTTATTACGTCCCTGGCCCCCCCGCTGGGCCGCGCACATGCCGCCGGTCATGATTTGCACCCCCCCCTCTTGGACACCCCCCCCTTGGCCGCTCCCGAGCCCCCCAGTGCACATCTCTAAACCAGGTCCCACTAAGCCCAGTTCTGCCAACGCCCGCTCGACCCAGACATCCGACGTCTCGATTTTTTCGAGACGCGGGCCCCCGACCTCCCGACCACTTCCCTGGGACCGGTTTTTCATCCCGAGTTGTTTTTTGACGGTCCCGAGGCCCGGCGAAGGCTCCGGGAGGCCAAAAACTATGAAAAACCTCTGCCTCGATTTTTTCGAGACGCCCGATGTCTGGGGATCGTTGGGAGGGGCGCCAGAGGTCCGGGGGGGGGTACCGCGCGGCGGCCGCCGACGGCGACCTGTGAGCGAGAGGGCCTCGCGGCAGCCGCGGGCGCGCGCGCGCGCAGCCCGCCGGCCGGCGCAGGGAGGGCCCCCGCGCTCGGAGCAGGGGCGCGGAGGGGGGCCTCTCGCTCGAGGGGGGGCGGCGGCGGCCTCCTCCTCCTCCTCCTCCTCTTTCTCCTCCTCCTTCCTCTCTTCCCCTCTCCTCCTCTTCCTTCTTCTCCTCTCCTCCTCTGCCTGGGGGGGGGCTGGGGCCTGCCGGGGGCGCGCGGGAAGGTCGGGGCTCCCAGGGGCTGCCACAGGTTTGAAGAGGCCGGCCCAGGCCTCGCTCTCGCGCGGAGCGCGCCGGTCGTCCGCGCGCGCTCCGGCGAGGAGGCTCGTGCACAGGGCAGTCTGCGCCCCGTCCTCCCCTCCGGGCAGGAGGTCGGCGACAGAATGGATGCACCCCAGAATGGATCGAGGATTTGCTCGTCGAGTCTGCGGAGCAGAGGTCGGATGCTCGTGTAAATCTACATCCATCCGTTCGGCGTGTTCCCCTCGTAGATGCTACGGACGTTTCACAAGTTTTGGGTCAGTCGGTTTTGTAGTCGATCGTCTAATTACTCGATCCCTTCCCCCGCCCCGCGACCGCCCCCTCTCCCTTCCTCCCCCCCCTCCCTCAGGCGCAACGAATAGGGGGGGATACGCACAGGGGGGACGCATCGACCCCCGATCGCCCATGGATCGTCGAGAGGGGCAGGAACAGCCTGGACCCGCCCTTGAACATGCGGATTCGCTATCTGGGGCCTATTTGCCGATCCATCGGCGAAGTATGGCCGATTCCAGGCCGATGTTTCTCCCCCTGTGCCAGTCCCTCCCTATCGTTGCCCCCCCCCCCTCCCCCCGCGGCCACCGGACAATCAGCGATGCCGTGACCGATCGCGCGTGCGAGCTGCCGCTGCCGCGCTGCGGCGTAAAAAGCCCACAGGTCAGTCGGAGCCCCGAATCCTCACGGCTGTGGGCGGTCAAGGCTGGAGGCGTGCTCACACCGGAGGCGACGATGAGGGCGAGTAGTCCAGGGGAGAGCAATACATGTAGCCAGGGGCGCCGTTGGTCCAGCTCCTCGGCAGGGCTCTTGGGCGAGTACGTGTAATGCTCGCCACTGGGCCGTTCGCCCTTATCGTCGCCACCGGCGACAGGTCAGCCAGTGCCCCGAATCGTCAGGGCTGGGGGCGGCCAGGGGCAACTGCACATTCGCACCTTGGGGGGGCCCAAGCCGGAGTGCCCGCAGACCGTAGCTGTATTCCAGAGCGTTCGCGCGCCCGGCCCCTCCGAAGCATCAGCGGAGGAGGGAGGAGGGAGGAGGGAGGAGGGAGGAGGGAGGGGGAGGAGGGAGGAGGGCGGCGGGAGGAGGGAGGAGGGAGGAGGGAGGAGGGAGGAGGGAGGAGGACGCAGCCGTCGTGCTGCCGCAGCTGCGCGCGCCGTGTCGGCTGGCAGCGACCCCAGCAAGTGCGCTTGAGGCCGAAGGCCGCCCGTGGCCCAGAGTCGGCCCGTCGTCGCACGATCCGGCGCTCATGGCACGGCCGCTCGGTCCAGTCGGAGCGCTCCCCGCGGTTGGCGGGAGCCCGCCCCGGGGGTCGACACGCCGCGAGCCTGTAAGTTGGGCCTGTCCCTCCACGGAGGGAATCTTCAGAGATAGGAAAGATAGTCCGGGGACTTGTTTTGATCATTTCTTTTGTTTCTTTTACCAGTTTGGCGTATGTTTGGAGCATCTCGTATCTTTCGTCGAGAAGCCCCTTGTATCTTTTGAGTATCCTTTCTCTCTCGAGCATCTTTGGAGCATCCCTTTATCCTTCGTCGAGAAGCCCCCCCTGCAGGGGGACGTGCCCGACTCCACGCGAGCCTGCCGCGCCGCGAGGCGCGCAGGAGAAGGAGCGAGAATCGGCGACTACAAAGGGTGTGGTTGCGCCGGGGTGTCGTTTGCGATCGGCACCGTCGGGGCCTGGGGGGCACGACGACACTGTCCTCGTCGGGCCTCCTCGGG